TCAAGCATATACATGCATTTAAAATTAAGCATGAATTTGCAACTAGTAATCCTTCAGCTAGGCTTAATTATTGGTCGTATCATAAAGCCTATTTGGCTTGATTATGGGTAGGAGGTGAATATGAGTGTCTGGTCTCTATTGACTTAAAATATAATTATTTATATAAGATTTATTAAATGTATATGAATTTTGGAGTGGATATATAAATATACAGAATATGATTAACTTTGAATAATACAGTATTTGTCATTAATGATGCTTATATACTGTACTTTATTATTATATTTATAACAATTAAAATAATTATTGTAATTTTAAATTTATCTAAATCTCACGTAAAAATCTATAAGGTTAATTTGAATTTAATATTTAAATTATTTAAATTTTATATTGAAAATTTATTAAATCAATTATTAATATAGAATTTGTGAACTATGGTATTTATTATTGCAGAACCTGTTAGAAACTTTATGTTTTAATATCTTATCAACAAAACTATAACAATTATATTTTTAACAATGATTTATTTATCTTAGAAATTGTTCTTAATATCACACATAGAGTTGTGGTTTATTATATTTTGTTATATTTAACAAATAATTTATGCTAATTATAATAGTGTATTAAATGTGCTATTTATATTATAATAAAATACAAAATATAATTATATTATAATAATAATGTGTGATTTATTAAACAAGTTTACAATTTGTGATACAATTTCTACAGATATTAAAGAAATTATTACAAAATTACATGTTTTCAGTAACGCTGGAAATAATGCATTATTCATAACATCCGATGATATGGTCTATGGTTTGGGTCTTAATACCAATGGATGTCTGGGTTTAGGACACAACAGTCCCATACCATCACCAGAACTGATACCACAATTATGTCATCAAAACATACAATACTTTGTCAATGGATTGGATTTTGTATTAGCAGTGAATGACATAAATGTATTATATGGTTGGGGTAACAATAAATGGGGGCAATTGGGTCGGGGTTATAATCATGAATATGGTTGCCTAAAACCAAAGAGAATATCATATTTTGATGATAAGAATATTGTTCAAATTAGTTGTGGTTTATATCACACACTTGCCCTCACCGGTGATGGCCGAGTGTATGCATGGGGTGACAATAAATGGGGACAAATTGGTTGCACAACCTATAGCCAATTTATATCTACACCAATTGAATTACAATTCACCAATAATTATAAAATACAATCCATATATTGTTGCTCTGAATCGTCGTATGCCATCACATCGGATGGACATGTGTTCAGTTGGGGCGACAATACTGACCATCATTTAGGGCACAATAAATCATATGGAAATATATTACAACCCCGATTAATAAGCGCTATAAGTGACGTGAAAACAATTTGTGGCAATAGATTAGGCACAATGTTTCTCAAGACTAACGGTTTCATGCATTTTTATTCAAAAGACGATGATGGTGAAATTCATAGTGAGCCCATATTAGTGACAGGGTCCGATAATAAATTAAATGAACACAGTTATCAAGGTTTACAACAAATTAATACAAATGACGACCATGATGAATTCATTGTTTTATTGAATGATAAAATATGTAAAATATCATATGATTTAAATTTGATTGAAACTAATTATAATAGCTTTATCGACTATTACGCCAATGAAATGCAAATAACTTATAATACAATTGATTTGAAAGTATTGACGAATAAATCATATGAAACTAAAAATAATGTTAAGTCAAGGGATGGTATTTATAATAAGCAATTCAAGGAGATCTCGACCATAGGTTCGGGTGGTTTTGGGACAGTATTTAAAGTAAAGCATAGATTGGATGATAAGATATATGCCGTTAAAAGAGTGCTATTTAATGGTAAATGTCATTATTAATAGCTTTTATATTAATTCATTGAAATTATTTTAACAGATTTTAATGAAGAAAAGAAAAATAAAGTGTTAAATGAAGTAAAAAGTTTAGCAAAACTGGACTCAGAATATGTGGTAAAGTATTACCACTCGTGGACTGAATCCCATTATCTTTACATTCAAATGGAGTTCTGTTCGCAAAGTCTTAAATCTGTTCTCAAAGATAAACCCATTGTCTTCGAGAGACAACCGGAAGATGTGATGAAAATCTTTGAATACTTTATTTCGTGTGAAATATTCAAAGAACTCTTAGAAAGTGTTCAATACTTACACGAATGCAAACCACCGGTCATTCATCGGGATCTCAAACCCGACAATATATTGGTTGAACACAACGTTAGGTTCAATCGATGGGTAAAAGTGTGTGACTTTGGTTTGGCCACCGATCACGACATGCCATCCATGAGTCACACGTCAAATGTCGGGACTTCACAATACATGTCCATTGAAGCCCATCAGCGCCGGTACACAACCAAAGCGGACATCTATAGTCTGGGAGTGATTGCACAGCATTTGTTTGACTTATTCAATATGTATGACATTTACTACATACAGAAAATGTAACAATTTTTATAAAATGTATTTTTTTGTTTTAGTGAAAACCCGTTAGAAAAATACAGTTTAACAACATTTTCAGCTAATTTTAACAAATTATATGCAATTATTTGGTCAATGGCTGAGTCTATGGCCGATAAACGGCCGACCAGTGGTCGAGTTCTACAGGAATACAACGACTGGTCTATCAATAAGTCTATTATCAGTAATCATAAGGAATTCAATGCAATACTAAATATACTTCAATCTAAAAACAATGCATTTTTCTATGAGTTTTTATTGTGTAAAACAAAATCATAATAATTTTCTAAAAGATAACATTATGTTTAAATAATTGGATAACAATTTCAAATATTGTAATATTAAATTATTTTACTTTATTCTAATGTTAGTTGAAATATAGTCTACAAAATATAAAACACTTTAGATAACATAATATATAAATTTTTTGAAAAATAAGACAAATAAAAAAATAAAATGTAACTCATATTTTCCCTTTAATTGAGTTTTTCTGTGTTTATGACTTATTTTTTATTATTTGCAAAATAATTATTACAAATAATAAGATTATTTAATGTGTGGGTTGTTAAATAAATATGAAAGAGGCCCACATTAGAATACTATAGTTATTATCATATATTGTAAGCAATTCTTCCCATAAAACCGGTGTTTCCAATGGTTATCACTGATTACCATTATTTTCAACAATATTATTTCAAGTAAAGTAACTTTATAATAACTAAAATATACATGTTATACACCCAGTTCTATTTAAACATTTTCATTTACAAAGCATGTTTTATATAAATGATAAAATGCCACATTTCATACTGAACTCAGAATACGTGGTAAAGTCTAACCACTCATCGCTTTCATCCAATAATCTATTCCTACAAATGGAGTTCTGTTCCCAAAGTCTTCGTTCACTTATGAGTGAAAATACATTGTCTTTGAGAGACAATCACCGGCGGAACCGATGGATATCATTGAATATTTCATATCGTGTGAAATATTCAAAGAAATCTTGGAATGTCTGCAATATCTTCACGAATTGAAACCACCGGTCATTCATCGGGATATAAACACCGATAATATATTGATTTCAAACAATATTAACAATCGGTTTGGAAGACTGGTGTGACTTTGGTTTGGAAACACATTATTTATGTTTGATATCGATCTCCAGACGTAATGTGTTTTTTAAATTATTAATTAAATGTTAATTACAATAATAATTAAATATTTCTGTATTTATTTCAATAGTAGGCAAACATTTCACGCATAACGAGTGGTCTATCGATAAGACTGTTGTCACCAGTGATCGAGTACTCGACGACTATAACCAGTGGTCAGTCGATAGACATATAACTACCGCAAGCGATAAGCAATTTAATGAAATACTTAATACATTTAAGTCTAATGACAACATATTTGTCTATGAATTGTATTTTATGAAAATAAAATAGCAATTTTGATTCACCGAAAGTCATGGCCAGATATTTACTAATTATTACATAATTGCTATTAAATAATGTGTAATCTGAGGGTTGAATGTCTGGTCATGTGTTATAATCATCGCGAATATGCTTTCATACTATTCACCATAATTTTCATACTATTATATATGTAAATAAATAATATATATGTATAAATACAATTATATTATCACTTTGTGAATTGTAAAACAAATTAATAATTAATGTATTATGGTAACAATTATTTAATTAAATATTTATTTGTATAAAAATATACATGAGTAGTACTTCATTAAAATGACTATCAAATAATTAATATAATTTAATTATACAATTGAATATGAATTAAATATTAATTAAAATAACTTATAAATAACATATTTAATCAAATAGTGTGTAAATAATTAGTTTAAGATTTCCAAATAAAAATATCATAAATGAGAATTTATGTGAGGGTTGACAACAGTATACTATTGTATAAAAATATTTAAAGTAATTCATAAATTTAAGCATTGATAACACACACAGACAGACATCACTACCGGCGGCGGCAGACACAGCACTACTGGCCACTCAATTATGACTGATCTGCAACTCGTGCCACAAATACTTGCCGCCCGTCCATCGGCTACGGTATCGGGCGATGTCCTTACGGGTGACAATACCTATCACTTCGTTGCGATCATTGGTGACCACCAAATGGCGCAAACCTATGGCGCGAAAGAGGCGAAAAATCCTGGTCAACGACGCCGTGTGCTGCACAGCGTAGGCCGACGGGTTCATCACTGGCCTAATATCAATGGTGTACTCCCTCTCCCGATCGGTAATGTCGGCCACCACTGACTCGATGGACTCGTATCGGGGGTAGGCGTCGCGGAACGTCTGCCAGTTGTACGTATGCCAGTCCTGTTCGTACTCATTGAACAGCCGCTGCTTTAACATCACAATCAATTGCCACCGCAATACAAGCCCCCGGTAGCGGCCGAATGTGGTCTCGTGGCCGTAGTCTATGCTATACGACTGGTTCATATCGAAGTGGCGCCCGTTAGCGCCGGCGCCGCAAAACGAATCCACAGTAGTGTCTACAACGGGGAACCCATTGTGGGACTGGGACTCCAGCGCGTCAATGATTACGCCTACCTATAGAGAGATAGAGAGTGGTTAATCACATAGAGTATAACATAAAAATGTAGGTACTTTTTGAACAGCACTATCGCCATAACAACTATAAAACACAAACCTTTTCGCACGCTTTAAAAGTGGTGACAGGACTGGACATCACTTCGGAGGCGTATATATTGGAGGCGCCGTACGGGGGCTCCCATCCCAGGAACGGTATGCTCGACAACTGTATGTGTATATCGTATATGCCTTCGCCGAACATATCGCCCACCCATTTGGCCGTAATCAGTGTGATCATGATGGGCAGGCCAAAGGTCAGATTCCCGGTGGCCTCGATCAAAATTACGGTCAGACTGATGGTCATGCGAACGATGCCGCCCAAGTTGGCCGCCGCGCCGATTAGGGCAAACTTTCCCGGAGATACCTGCGCTCAGAGAGGGGTTGCAGTTTTACATTAGTAGTGGTTTACAATTAACAACGTTATCATTTGTTTGTATATAATGTGTGTGTGTTTTGTGGGCGAACTTTTGGTGTTAAGGCTGATAACCTTTACCACCCGGTGCTTAACAATACACTGTCTGGTGTAATAAATGTATAGTTAAATCACTAAAACATATATTAAAATGATATACTCTATGGAGAACTAACTGTCAGTGCCCTCGCCTACAAGGCCTACGATCCGCACCACAAAAAAACACGCAAACAATGACCACAAACCGATATAATAGCGGATCGCATACCCAGTCCTGTGTGGGAAACAACGCCTTCATACCGATGCCCACGAGTCGACCCCAGGCGGCGCCCACCAGCAGCGCCGGTATAAACAGACCGCTGCTAACACTGAGTCCGTACGTCCAACACGACAAACCGTAATAAATAACGGTAAACATGGCCAACGATTCGGGCCTCCACGTGCCCTCCACGTTGTGAAAC